TGGACCAGCATTCTAGGCCAGCTCTAGGGCTGATTCTTGGTTGAGCCACTTAACCTTCGTGTGGCCCAATTTCCTTTATTCTAAACCCTAAAGTCAAAAATACAGTCTTGAAGTCCTTCATACCCTGAAATGTTCTAATTTTATAATCATCTTTCTATTCAGGTAACTAACTCAAAAAGAATTGGACTTCTTTCCTCCAACCTCTGAAGTCCTCACTAAAGTTGAGAGTCCACATTTTATTAATCTAATCAATAGGATACTATTGCAGAACAAAAACAAACAGCATTTCTTAAAAGCTAGAACTCCATTCCGCAATTATAATTCCCAAATCTGACTCTTAACCTCAAATGATAATGACAGGGAGAAAAGACCTTACAACTCTGGATTGGGGTAGGAGGTGTAAAAAGAACAGACTACTGTACACAGGTGGTTATCAATTCACAAAAAAAGAGCACCCATTTCCATCTCCTCTAAAAAGTTGGAAATAAGTCTTTAAAGGGCTCTCATATAAACTCACTGCTTCATTCAACCAATAAAAAGTAATGAAGAAATTATGTCATTAATCCAAGACATTTATTATAGGCATGGGAAAATCACCAATTTATAGGATAAATCCTACCAAAATGGCTTAGAACTCTAGAATCTACATTTTACCAAGCTAGTCATCTAGCCAATTCAAATTGCACTTAAGTCCATTGCATGGACTTACCATAAATTTCACAGGGGTTCACTCCATTAGTCAGATTCATATCCACAACTGACAGTAACAGGATATTTAAACTCCAAGGAAAAAAGGCATAGGTTCCACTCAACACAATTACTCTGTGAAGTCTTCTAGGACCAAATCACTTTGCAAAATAATCTTTGCTACTTTTGTTCTCTAGAAAATAATCTCCCCAAATTTCGTAAATAAAATCACCCAAACCCCCTCTATTAGTTGCTATAACAAACTACCACAAATATAAAACAACACAAACTTATTATCTCACAGTTTCTATAGGCCAGAATTCAGGTGGGCTTGGCTGGGTCTTCTGCTTAGGGTCCTGCAAGACCAAAAATCAAGGTGTCCACCCTGCTCTCTTCCTTGTTGGAAACTCCAGGGAGAAATCTGCTTCCAGGCTCATTTAGATCATTGGCCAAGTTTAGTTTCTTGGGTTGTATGACTGATGCCTCCATTTCCTTGCTGGCTGTCAGGCAGGGCTGCCCACATGCTTTCCATGAAGCCCCCCTCCAGCAATGGCAGGTTGAGTGCCTCTCATGTTTCAAATCTGACTTGTTCTGCCCATCTCTCTGACTCCAGCTGGAGAAAGTTCTCTGCCTTCATGTTAGATTGGACCCATTCAGAAAATCCAGGATAATCTTCCTATCTTAAAATACTTAAACCATAATTACATTTGCAAAGTCCCTTTTGCCACATAGTGTTAATATTCGGATTCCAGAGATGGGGGGGGCAGGGTATCATTTTATCTACCACAGCCCACCGTCTGACCTCCAGAGATTCATATCTCTCCCAAATGCAAAATGCATCCATCCCACATCCTAAGGTCTCATTCCATTATAGCATCAACTCAAGTCCAAAAATCTCACCTAAAGCTCATCAATTAAAAAGTCCCAGATCTCATCTTCTAAATCAGGTGTAGATGAGGCTCTCAGCATAATACAGTAAGTACAACTCATGGGGCACAATTCCTGAAAACAAAAGTTATCTGCTCCTAATGCACAATGGTGGGATAGGCACAGGGCAGCAGTTAAAGACATTCCAGTTCCAACAAAAAAAAATGGAAAAGAAAACAGATCCATTGGTCCAAAGCAGTTTCAAAATCTGGGCAAACTCTGTTCCATTTCAAAGTAAGGGCAAAATCCTCTGTAGCTTTCAGGCCCACCTCTCTGTGCTCTTGGTTCCACCCTCTGAGTCACCCACCTTTTTTTAATGAAAAGCAGCATACTCACACCTGAGTTTTACCAGCCTGTTTCCTGCCTAGAATTTGGGGGTATTTTAATAGCCCTCTTTAACTTTCTACTGTCTTTTTCAATCCAAGCTAGCATTGTTTCTGATAGTATAAAATCCTCAAGGACCTCATGGACTTACCATAAATCTCACAGGGGTTCACTCCATTAGTCAGATTCATATCCACAAATACACCAGACTGCACCTTCAACACTTTGCTTGGAAATCACCTCTGTTGGATAGCCAGGTTCATCACTTACCAGTTCTCTTTTCCACATAACCACAGGATACAATTCTAAACTTATTTGCCACTATGTAACGAAGATTCTCTTTCCTCCAGTTTCCAGTGCCTATGTCATTGCCACCTGGCCCTAACTTGCAGTCAACATCCGTATTTCTCCAAACTGTTCCAGGCCTTTTCTATCATACTCCTCAATTTTTTTCTGGCTTTCATCCACTTCCACGTTTTTTGGGTAACAGTATCCCACTCCAGGTACCAAAAATCTATACTAGTGTTTTACGGCTGCCGTAACAAATTACAACAAACAGGAGTGCTTTAAACAACAGAAATTCATTATCTCAGTTTCTGTGGGTCAGATGATGTTAGGTGGGCGTGGCTATGTCTTCTGCTTAGGGTCTCACAAGGCCAAAATAAAGGAATATTCCTTGCTGGAAACTCTGGGGGAAGAATCCACTTCCAAGCTCATTCAGGTTGTTGGTCAAACTCAGTTTCTTGTGGTTGTAGGACTGAGGTCTCCATTTCCTTGCTGGTTGTCAGCTGGGACTGGTCTCTGCTACTAGAGGCTGCCCGTATTCCTTCTCATGCTTTCTATGTGGCCCCTTTAGCAACAGCAAATGGAGTCCCTCTCATGACTGGAATCTCTGATTTCACCCTTCTCCCCTTCTCTTGACTCCAAAGTGGAGAAAGCTCTCTGCTTTCAAGGGCACGTGTGATTAGGTTGGGCCTACCCACCAAATGCAGAATAGTCTTCCTATTTTAAGATTCTTAACCCTAACAAGATCTGTAAAGTGCCTTTTACCATGTAACATATTTACAGATTCTGGGAATTAAAGTACAGACATCTTTTTTGGGAGGGGTGGCATTCGGTCGACTACAAACCCAAACCCTATGTAGGGCTTTAAACTCAGTTCCTAAAGAAAATTTCCCCTTTCTCCAAAGGAGTATGTGAAGTAAAGGTGTCTGTTCATAGTAAAATCAAAGACTCACCCTGTAACAGTGGCTAGGCAACAAGATAACTAAAAATACACTGTGGGAAAGAAGCTGCCACTTATTTTATCCCCAAACAGCAAGGCAATAAACCCATTACATAGAAGTAACCCAATTTCCCCTTAAATGTGTGCTTCTCTTCTCTGTTTTATTCCATACAAGAGAACATAACTGGGCATGTCTGTTTTTTTTTTCTTTTTTTTTTTTTAAAACAAAAGTCACCCCAGGGTGACCTAACTTTGTAAGCAGTTGACAAGTCAATCTAAACAAATTTCAAATCTTTTCATTCTTTCTTGAAGTCATGTACCCTCCCCCAATGGCACATGAAAGTCAAGTATTTCAAAGTCACACAAGGATAAACCTGCCCAGATAAAACAGCAGGTGAAGTTTTTAAAATGACTTGAGGAAGATCAAGTTATTGGTCCTGGCCTTTCAGCCAAAGGTCCACCAAGCCAATTAAGTCAATTGACTTACAACAAACAAGAAACTGCAACAATTACTACAAAGGTAATATTCTACAGTCTTGCCTACTGTTAGATTCTTGACCACAAATTCTACGGAGAACACAGGAAGCCCAAATATACCAGCTAGTCCCTTTAATCTATCAAGCGCTTACTACCTGTCAGGCACTGCGGTAAGCACTTGACACAAATTATCTTATTTACTGCTCACCATATTGTATAATCTAGGAAATACTGCCCCCACTCTACAGATAGGAAAACCAAGGTTTACAAAGATTAGGACACACAGCTAAGCAGTAATGGCATGATATTTGAGAACCCAAGCACTCTGGTTCTTTACCACTAGCCTGTATTGCCACTCCTTAGATGTAATGCAGTCTCCCAACTCCTAGAAAAATCTTCCCTTTCCAGTTTTCTTTTCATGTCCTCTCCCCACGCCCCCTTCTAATAGGACTCAGCAGCTGAAAGGTAATCAAATCTTCCCAAATTAATTTACCACCTTCTTTTCAGAACTCTTCCTTTCCCACCATGGCAACAGTCAAGAAGCAACTTCTTCCGACCCTGACTTGGCTTTCCAAAAAACAAACTACTGAAGCTCCACCCATCACCTGCCTAGACTAGAAATGTTCCAGCGCTACAAAATAACAAACAACAAAAACACCAAAACCAAAATAAAACTCGTACTCTTTCAAAAGGTCACAAACTTAACATGTATACTGTTGGCCAAGCTTTCATTCTACATACTTCTCTTCCACCCAGGCTCCCAACTAACCCTTAACTCCAACTCCACCCATTCTGCCCCACTTCGTGGTCCCCTCCCCCTTTCTCCCCAGCGACCTCGCCCGGGGTTCCCTCTCCCTTGCACCCCAGTCTGCAGGTGGGAAGCCCGCCTGGCCCAGAGGGACCCTTAGAAGGCCCCCACTCCAGCTGCTCCGCTCCGCGGGAAGGTTCACCCCACCCTACCCAGCAGGCACCACTCCCCTAGGCACCCTCCCCCAGCATCCCCTAGTGGCCCCACCCCTCAAGCTCCCTTCCCCCTCCGGCGACCCCTTCCTCCAAGTTGCCCCCTTAGTCCCCGCCCCAGTCCAGCCCTCTCCCCCGCAATAAGCGGGACGCCCGAAAGCCACTTCCCACCCTCACATCAGCCTCTGCCCACGAAGCCTCACTCCCCGTCCTGAAGGGTGGCCCCAGGCCTCCCCGATGGGCTGCAGGGGCCTCGGCTGGTGTGTGTGTGGGGGGGGGCAGGGGAAGGCGACGGGCCGCTCCGGACTCCTCTGGGAGTGCGGGGGGAGACCGCGCCCCGTTGTCCCATCCTGGGCCCACCTCCACACCCAACGACCTCGCCTGGTGGCTCCCACCGTACCTGTGGTGGAAGCGGCAGCGGCGGTGGCCGCTCTCCCCTCTCCTCACACAGACAATATGGCGGCGGCGGAGGAGGAGACACACGGCTCGGCCGCCAGCCGCAGGGACCAGAGCGAGGCTGCAGCCGCCACTGCCGGAAGCGGAAACCCCCTTCCTACCAGGAGGCGGGGCGGGACCGCTTCCGATTCCACCCCCAGCGGGATCTGGCTGAGTGCGGCCATGCTGGGATGTGCTATTGTATCCCTGCAGGTGCAGTTGCGAACTGGGGGGCAAAATGGAAGAAATTCTCAATGTAAAGCATAATAAAGAGATTTGCAATTATTAAGGGCATTTTATTTTAGTACCTGTTAAGAACTGACGAGGTAGAGAAGAACCTCCCATAGGTTTACAATTGGTTTGCCCCAAGCTAAGATGGCGGTCCCCATGTTTCCTGCACTTCACCCAGCTGACCGGTCCGGCCGGCCTTTCTTGAAGCATGCGCGACCCGCAGGGCTGTAAAGCGAAGCATTTTGGGAGATGGAGTCTCTTGCTCGAACCCCTCGACTAGGGTTAGGGTTCCAGCAGCACATTTGCTCTGCTCAAACTTTGAGTTCGCAACAAACGAACGAAAGTTGAACCCTCGGAGTGGTGTGGCGCCGGAGTCGAGGAAGTAATGATCCAAGCCCTGTAGAGACTGAGACTCAATTCTTGTCTCCTACGGGAGTCCTATTTAGAACTGCCCATCTAGAATAAAGTGTTTTCTTCCTTCGGTCTGCCCCTCCTCCCCCTCCCCCGGCCCAGACAACCTCCCCAGAGCAGCCACAGGGCACTTTATATCTTGCCAACCTGATGGTGGCGTCCTTATGGATAAAAATCTTCCAGGGCTCTCCTTTGTGCACCGAAGATAGCCTTAGTCCTTCTCTTGACATCCAAATTCTTAGATAAATTGGACAGCCCGCTCACCCCCATTTCTAGCCTCCTATTGTGCCCCTCCCCTCTCATATTTCTGATGCTTCGACCTACTAAAACTGCCAACTATTCCTGGAGCTTATTTGTGTTGCCTCCCTGCCTTCGCGCTGGCGGTTACTTCTGTTACTGTCACCCCCTGAACTGGCTAACTTCGTATGTCCATTGAATTAATTCGGGGGTCCTTTCTTCTGGGGCTCTTCCTTCCTTTGAGCTTTCCCAGACATAGGCACCGTCATTCAGCAGCCTTGACTGGCCCCTAGTCCGCCTCCCCCATCAGACTGTGAGCCCCCAGTGGACAGGGCTGGGTCTGATGATCACTGTCCTCTCCGCAGGCCCTGCTAAAAACTGGTGTGTTACTGAGAGGAATTCAAGTGTTAGCCTCACCTCTAGTGGGGCAGAGGTGTGAGGGCTGGAACAAGGGTGAGGAGGTTGGGTTATTTTGGTACCAGCTATTATCCCTGAGCTGCCTCAGAATAGCTGCCTGGCCCAGGAATGGGCCTTCCCACCCTCTCCAGCCCCCCTTTCACAGTTTGTCAGCTTACTGGCATCTCTGCTCCCAAAGGGGCAATTTCCTTCCCTATATGATGGGGGTGGCCCCGCAACTGCAGACAGACAGCAATGACCGCAAGGAGGTGGCCTTGAGTTTTCTGGGCTTATCTGCCAGACAGGTCTGCAGCATTTGACCCCAGGGGCTGGGAATCTACAGTAATGGCTTTCTGGGTGCTCGAAGGTGGGTCAACCCTCTTCTCTGGGCCTGTTTCCCCACCTGTGGACTGAGGAGGTTCGACAAGATGATCCCAAGGTTTTCATGAAGACCTTTTTAAGGAAATGACTGGCCTTTCGCTTGGCTCTTGGATCTTGTTTGTTTGTTTGTTGAGCCAGCTGTCATGGCTCCTTTGTTCACATTTATCCAGTTCACAGCTATTAATCAGTTGCTATGAGCTGGACACAGTGCTAAGTGCTGGGGTTGGGGTATGAGCAAGACCGACACCAATTCCTTGTGGAACTCACTTTCTAAAGTGAGAGACAAATAATACGTGGGTAAACAAATAAATAAACAACATAGTTTCAGGTAGCAGTAAGTGCTATGAAGGAAAAAGATAAATAGCTATGGAAAAGACTAAAAGGGGGAGCACTTTAGCTTGAGTGGTTCAGAAATTCTATAAAGAAAAAGCGTTTTTATTTATTATTTATTTATTTATTTTAAAGATTTTATTCATTCATTTGATAGAGAGAGAGAGAGAGAGAGAGACAGCGAGAGAGGGAACACAAGCAGGGGGAGTGGGAGAGGGAGAAGCAGGCTTCCCGCTGAGCAGGGAGCCTGATGTGGGGCTCGATGTGGGGCTCGATGTGAGGCTCGATGTGGGGCTCGATGTGGGGCTTGATGTGGGGCTCGATCCCAGGACCCTGGGGTCATGACCTGAGCTGAAGGCAGACGTTTAATGACTGAGCCACCCAGGCGCCCCAAGAAAAAGCGTTTTTAAAATGTCCTTCAGTTTGTCTCTCACCTCTGTCTTCTTCTATTTGGTTTTTACGTTTACTGTTTCTCACCCCTTTTCTTAACACTGCTCCAGCCGGGTCCCTTATCAGTTCTGGCCTGAAGTTTTGTAACTACCTCGGGGAGCCCCTCCCTCTCCCACATGTCCTGCACACACACACTGCCACTGAAAGAAAGTTTATTAACCACTATGTTCCTTTCTTGCTCAAGAGTTTTCAGTGGCATTTCATTGCCTTCAGGCAAAGTCCAAATCCCTTGGCCTGGCATCCATGACATTTGTAAACTTGACTCTAACTTGGTTGGATTCCAGCTCTGTCATTTACTAGTACTATAACCTTGGACAACTTATTTGATCTCTCTGAGCCCTAGTTTCCTCATCTGTTTAAAAAGAAAGAAAGAGGGGCGCCTGGGTGGCTCAGTCAGTTTAGCACCTGACTTTGTGTTTTGATGTTGAGTTTGTCTTAAACTTTAAATTGTATGTTTTCATGACCTCTATCCCTTTTGAGTGACAGCTAAACAGCTAGGAGGAGAATGTTCTGTGCTGTTTAGGGAACCTAGAGCTTCTATCCAAAGCCCCAGCATCAAACAGGCTGGTGTGGAACAGTGGAAGAAACACACAACAGAATGTAACGTGGAGCCAAGCCCCACAGAGCCCAGCCGAGATCAGCCAAACCTCAAAGACTGCAGATGAGAGAGGGAGAAATCAATATTTGTTGCTGTAAGCCACAGACTTCGGGGATGGTTTGTTATGCAACATTATTATAGTAATAGCTAACTGATAGACCCAGTTCACTGGGCTCTTGTCAGGATTAAACGACTGAATACAGTAAAGCCCTTAAAAATATGCTGACACCCTAGGGTGCAGTCAACATGAGTGGTTATGACTGGGGTGTACCTGTGAACAAAAGGAAGTCCTCGCTTTCACGACCTCATGTTCCATGGAGAGATGTATGGCACGTCAGATGGTGATGAGCTCTGCGGAGAAAATCAGGCAGGGAAGGGAGAGAGGAGTGCTGTGGTACTGCTTTGTAGAGGTGGTCAAGGGAAGCCTCACCGGGAAGGTGGTTCTTGAGCAAACAGCGGGAAGAGGTGGGGCAGGAAGGCGTAAGGGCAGAGGCAACCGGGTGGGCAAAGGCTGTGGACAGGACTGCTGTCTGATGGGTGGAAGGGATAGCCTATGGATAGGGTGGCTGAGCTGAGCAAGCAAAGGGAAGATGGTGTCAGGGAGACGCCCCTGGGGCTGGGCCATGCACAGCCTTGTGCATCATGATCAGGACTCTGGCTTTTGCTCTGAGTGAGGTGGGGGATGTTGAAGGGTTTTGACCAGAGGACAGGCCCAGCTTTGCATTTCTACAGGATTTCATGGGCAGCGGGGTATAGAATAAATGGAACGGGAGGGAGGGCTGAAGCAGGGAGATCAGGTCAGAGGCCACGGCCACAATCCAGACAAAAGATGGCTATGGTTTGAATCAAAGTTAGGCTCTGGGCTTATTCTGAAAGTAAACCCAGAAGAACAGGTTGGGGATGGGGTTTTGAGATAGAAAGGAATTGAGGGTGATTCCAAGGCTTTGGGTCAGAGGAATTGAAAGAAGGCATTTGCCACTAACTGAGGTGAGGAAGGCTATGGGAGAACTTTTTCAGGTGGGGAAAGGAGGAAGGAATTAGCAGTTCCATTTGAGGCTTGTTCAGTTTGAGGTACCCATCAGACCTCCAAGTGGGGATGCCTAGTTAGAAGTTGCCTGCATGAATCTGAGTCCAGGAGAGAAGTCTAGGCAGGAGATGTACTTTTGTCATGTTATGGACTGAATTACATCTCCCCAAAATTCCTATGTTGAAGCCCTAACCCCCAATGTACTGTATTTGTAAATAAAACCTTTAGGAAGGTAGTTAAGGTTAAATGAGGCCATAAGGGTGGGGCCCTAATCCGGTAGGACCGGTGTCCTTGTAAGGAGAGGAAGAAACCTCAGAGCGCATTCCCTCTCTCTCTCTCTCTTTCTCATTCCCTCTCTCCCTCTCCCTAGCTCTCTCTCTGTCTCTGAGTGTGCACAGAGGAAAGGCCATGTGAGGACATGAGGAGAAGGCAGCCAGCCAGCAAGAGAGTTCTCACCAGAAACCAACTCTACTGGCACCTTGAGCTTCCAGAACCAGGAGAAATACAAAATAAATTTCTATTGTTAAGCCACTCAGCCTGTGGTTTCTCGTTCTGGCAGCCCAAGTAGACTAATACAGGAGTCCTCATTGTAGAAATAGCTTTGAAAGCCATAAGACTGGGTGAGATCTCCAAGGAAGTGAACGGAGAGAAGAGAAGAAGATGGAGGACTGAACCTTGGGGCATTTGGCATTAGGGGGAAAGGAACCAACAAAGGAGCTTCAGAGGGAGCAGCCAGGGGCAGACGTCCTGAGAGCCAAGTCAGGAAAACACTTCAAGGCAGGGAGAATTGTTGGTGTGTCTCAAATGCTGCTGAGAGGTCAAGGAAGACGAGACCCGAGAACTGAGAGCAGATTTAGCAAAGTAGAGGGCATCGTGACTTTGACAGGAAAGAGTTTAGGTAGAATGGTGGGAGCCCAAGGGAGTGGGATTTAGAGAGAGCAGAAGAAAATTTAAATGCATACATACAGGAAGAGAGAAAGATAGAAAGAAAGGAAGGGAGGGAGGGAAAACTCTTAAAAAAAAAAAGATTT